AAATCTTGCGATCGAAATTTCTGGCACTTCCCAGTTAGCTAGCGCGCTGAAATTTTCAGGGAAGCTTTCTTTTGGATGACCATTGAATATTCAATTGTTATTATTACTAAATTGATCAATGGAAACATTTTATTGAGCATTTTAGACCGCTATATAATCTATATATATAATTCTCCTCTGCTAGCCATTAGAAAAAAAACCAGCGATGCGTACCTCGCGCGCAGTGAAGCGAACGATCACATGTCGCCACAGGCTTAGGGGCAGAGAATTTAGCTTGAACCGAGTTTAAACTTACAGGAGATAGGCCAGTTTGGGGGAGACGATATGGTCGAGTGGTTGGGCACACGATTGCTATCCCACTCGACACGGGTTCAAATCTATGTGTTCTAGTCAGTAACGTATTCAAACAACGTGTTTTTTACGAGTTGTCTTTTTACGAGTTGTCTTTTTACGAGTTGTCTTTTTACGAGTTGTCTTTTTACGAGTTGTCTTTTTACGAGTTGTCTTCGTTTACCCAAAAAAAGTGAAAAGATAAAATCGATAGCAAGATTTTAATGCAAACAAACAGACAAAGACTAAAAAGTAGAAAATAATAATCATTAAAAAAGTTTTAAAAAACCCACGTTTTCTGATTGAACTAAAAAGTAGAAAATAAATGCTATAGGCCCTACATCACAATAATGCAAGCGATCACTCTACTATAAGCGAGCAAAAACGTGGGGGCCGTGATTTTCTTACAGTTTTCTAATACTGTTGACTCTCTACAAGCTCCCTAATAAAAGTCAATAGTATTATCTAATCAATAGTAATATAACTTTTACTTCGGCGCCCCACGTTTTTCATCGCTTATAGTAGAGTGATCGCTTGCATTATTGTGATGTAGGGCCTATAGCATTTATTTTCTACTTTTTAGTTCAATCAGAAAACGTGGGTTTTTTAAAACTTTTTTAATGATTATTATTTAAAATCAAATGGCTTTATCAGTTTTAATAGGCCATTTCCTCAGAGACAGTATTGAGTCCGTTTTTATGAACTGTATTCACAAAAACTTGGGCAGTACAAGGGGGCTGTTTTACAGAAAACTTGAGCTGTTATCACACTATAACATAGGCTGTTGTCACACAAAAATCTGGGCTGTTTTGTGACCTGGGCACTTGTCACACATAAACCTGGGTTGTTGTCACAAAAATCTGGGTTGTCACAAAAATCTGGGTTGTCACAAAAACCTGTGCTGTCACAAAAATCTGGGTTGTCACAAAAATCTGGGTTGTCACAAAAATCTGGGTTGTCACAAAAATCTGGGTTGTCACAAAAAAAACTGCTGTTTTAATTAAAACCCTTTGTTGTTTTCACACAAAAATCTGGGTTGTTGTCACAAAACCTGAGCTATTCGTGTAATACATGCTGTATGCTAGTGTAGTAATGAGCTAACCAGGTTTGGCTTATCTGTCTGACTTGTTTCATCTACTTCACAGTGAACCTAACTGGCAGAGGGCGTGTCACCATGGAGGACTTTGAGCTGCTTAAAGTACTAGGCACGGGCGGTAAGTGGCCACACCCTCATTAGGGCTTAGCTGGGGAAATATGAGGGAGTGGTGGCGGGGGGGGGGGGGGCGACTACGTGGGGATGTTGAGTAATTTACCGTAGGGATAACTGTCAATTTTATTTTGTCATTTCATCCATACTTGGGTCAAAAGTTGAAGGTCATTACATCAGTGGTGTTGGGAGAAATATTTGTGAGATGTTGGTTTATATGGGTTTCTAGATCTAGTACTAGACAAGTCATGCAGTTAAGCTGATCAGGGGACTGTACTCTTTTTTTTCAATAGCTTCCCCTTGTATCTTATAAAGCTGATTGGCTTTTAGTTTAGGGTTATGCTGTACAATCTTTCTTAACTGGTACTCACACCCTCTTGGTTGATAACCTTTCTACAAAATTCTATGAACTATTTAAAATCTAGTTTTTAACATCTAAAGCATACAATCTTTTGACCAAAACTTGTGTAACAGGCAGAGTTTCTTCCAGGCATCTCTTCGGGGGGGCCCCCGAAAAATTTTTAGCGCCCCCCCCGAACGAAATGAAATTTATATAATTTATATAGAAAATATATACTTTTAACAGTGTCCGCCCCCCCGAAGAAAGTCTACCGCCCCCCCGAAAATTTCAAGTGCCCCCCCCGGAGAAAAAAGTCTGGAAGAAACACTGGTAACAGGCTCATTAGAGACTGTTAAACCTGCCATTCAAATGTTTAATTAGTGTCATCCAATTTCACTGCATTGCACTATCACAAGGAAGTCCAGTTTAAATTGATTCATCATAATCATTTTTTTTTTGCATAGTAAAGCACTATTTTCATTGCTTAAAGAAAATCAATAAAGCCCTTGTGTATTAATTGTAGCCATTTTCTCAGTGTAGCCCTCTTGGGATAGCTATTTCTCTTCTATGATAATAATAGTGATAGTCCTTTAATATAAAACCATCACATAAAATTATCCATATATAAAACAAAAGTTTTAAAATTTTATTTAAAAAGTAGGCACATCAGTTGTTGTTTTTTTTTAATAGAATTTTTAAAAAATATTCTAGAAAATTAACTCAAGTATCCCAAATTTTGACAGTTAGCAATTTATAAAAATCTGTCTTAAATTTCAATGTTAAGATATCGCCTGTTTATCTCTCAGCGTACGGAAAAGTTTTCCTGGTACGTAAGCGAAACGGCAGGGACGTGGGTAAACTGTACGCCCTGAAGCAGCTGAAGAAAGCCACCATCGTCCAGAAGACCAAGACAACAGAACACACCAGGACAGAGAGACAGGTCCTGGAGGCAATCAGGCAATCCCCCTTCCTCGTCACACTGCATTATGCATTCCAGACAGACTCCAAGCTTAATCTCATTTTAGGTAGGTTTATATATTTTTGATTGCTTAATTTTTTTTAAAGGTCTACTTCACTTTTAAAAATATTGATTGCTCAATACATTTTTTTAAAGATTATGACTAAGAGTAATTACATTTTTGAAATTTTTATACATTTTCTACTTTTGCAATCATAAATAAAACTAAAGACAAGTGTAGTAATAAATAACAATTCAAAATTTCCCTATTCAAAATAAATACATTTATGTTTTTCATTATCCTTTACATTTTCCGAATTGACTTTCCATTTTTGCAAATCCACATTTCATGTCCTTTAAAGACTGTTTTAAAAAACAAAGGGGTTGTTTTTCATGTTTTTTTAATTCTTTATTTATATTGTGTTTTTTTATGATCAGATTTTGTGAACGGAGGGGAAATGTTCACTCACCTTTACCAGCGTGAACACTTCACTGAACACGAAGTCAGGATTTACATTGGTGAAATCACTCTAGCCCTGGAGACCTTGCACAAGGTAATTTATTGCAAGTGTTACTAGCTCTGGTGTAAGAGGCTGTTTTATAAAAATCAATGTCACATGACAGAGGAGGGGGAAGGGGTTGTCATTGAAAGTCTTAGCTGTGTCAGAAGAAGCTGTTTTTTTTTTAAAATGTAAAATTAAATCATTTGATGGGAGGGGTTGTTATTGCAAGTCTGAATTTTATTACTGTATATTGTTATCTAGATATTTTTTGCATTTGTTGTAATTGTAATACAATGTTTATTGCTATCTAGATATTTTTTGCATTTGTTGTAATTGTAATACAATGTTTATTGCTATCTAGATATTTTTTGCATTTGTTGTAATTGTAATACAGTGTTTATTGTCCCCTCAGCTTGGCATAATCTATCGCGACATCAAGCTGGAGAACATCCTTCTAGACTCTGATGGCCACATTGTCCTGACAGACTTTGGTCTCAGTAAAGAGTTTCTGCCCACAGACCCTGTAAGTTGGAGTTGCTTTTATGTTCTCAGATTATTCTACTATACGGCTTGTATTTTATTACATTTGTTTGTTCCAAAAAATTTTCATTGAGAAAAATAATTTTTTTTACAATTTACAACATTCATCTGCTTGCTCCTAGATCACATTTTATTTTTAGATTGTGTTAACATTGATTTTTCATTTAGTTTTTGCTAACTAGATATCATACTCATGCTCTCCATATAAAAGTGTACTTTACAATTTTTAAGACTCATCGAACGTATTCATTCTGTGGCACCATTGAGTACATGGCCCCTGAGGTGGTCAAAGGTGGACATCTGGGGCATGATTTTGTAAGTCTGGTTTATGTGGTTTTATGTCTGGTGTCAGACCTTTTTTTTTTTTTCTTAAAAATTTACTTTCATAAATAAACTGGACATGAAGTTTTTAAGTTTTTATGAACCATTTATAAATAAAAACAACCTACTGGTGTAAAACTAGAAATTATATAATGAGTACACCTTGTGTTTGACAGGCTGTAGACTGGTGGTCCCTGGGTGTGTTGACCTATGAACTTCTCACTGGAGCTTCACCTTTCACAGTGGACGGGGAAAAAAATTCACAGTCTGAAATTTCTAAGTAAGTCCTTAAAAAGTCTAATATTATGGTTTGGATTAAAAAGTAAGTCCTTCAGTCTAATGTTAGGGTATGGTTTCAAAAATATCAGTCAGTACATAACTTCAGTTTGATGTTATAGTTAAGTCATCTGAGCAGTGATTGAGCTACCATTATTACACCTATAACTTCAATAATTATCAGCCTTAAGTTGAGCTTCATGAATTTTTTAAGTTATAACTATTACATTTCTAAATTAAATTAACAAAGAAAGCTGCTAGGTTGATGTAATAAAAAAAATCTGGTGTAGGATGTTAAACTTTTGTAATTTGTCTTTAATACTAAATTGCATCTAAAAGTTCAGTGAAGTTAAATGTCGCCCTAAATATTTGTCCAGGCGCATCCAGAAATGTAACCCCCCCTACCCTAGTCACTTCTCCCGTGAGGTCAAGGACCTGATACAGAAGCTCTTGACCAAAGACCCAACCAAAAGATTGGGGTCAAGAAATGCTGAGGAAGTCAAGAGGCATCCATTCTTCAAAGTAGGTTCACACTACAATTTTAACCAGTGCTTTCTAATCAGGCTGTTTTTTTTTTTTAAGAAATATCTTATAATCCTCTAAGGCATAACTAAATACACAACACTTCCAATCTATAAAGTTCTATCTATAAAAATTTTTAAGGACTATTAATCTCCCTTATGTTCTCTCAAAGCAACAAGCTAAAAAAGTTAGAAATCTAGTATATTATTTCAGTATTTAATAAGTCTGTTAAAAACCTCCAACAGTGAATAGTTTCGATATTCAAGTTTCAGTTTTTTATTTGGTGAATTACAGTGTCTGTGATTGTTTTTTTTCCCGTATGTTTGCCTTGTGTATATTTTTTCCTGATTGTTGTATTACCAAGTGACTATTTTTTTTATTTGTTGTATAACTTTGTGTCTATTATTTGTGCTTGTTATATTACCTTGTGATTAATTTGTGTTTTATTTGTTGTATTACCTCGTGCTTATTTCTTTTTAAATTGTTATATCTCTTGTGTCTATTAATACGCATTGCCTCCATTTGTAGACTCTAAACTGGGATGATCTAGCCCAGAAGAAGGTGCCAGCTCCCTTTGTGCCCAGTATTCGCCATGAGATGGACCTGAGCAACTTCTCTGAGGAGTTCACCAGAATGGACGCCACTGAGTCCCCCGCCATCATCCCCAACATGGGGGAGAAGCTGTTTAAGGTAAACACTTTTTTTTTTGCAGCATATAAAAGCATTTCAAGTATACTGTTTGGTTCATTTACTATCTGGATAATTTGACCTTTTTAAGAAGTTTTTTTTAAATAATTATTTTAGTTTATTATAGACATTTTTACAATAGTTTTTTAACTTTAAAAAAAAAATTGTATTATAGACATTTTTGTTATCCATTTTTAATTATTTTTTTTTAAATTTCAAATTAATTTAGTTTATTATAGAAATTTTTGTAATCATTTTTATCTATTTTTTTTTCAAATTATTTTAGTTTATTATAGAAATTTTTTTACCATTCTTTTTAAAAATTATTTTTGTTAATTATAGACATTTTTCAATAATTTTTTTAACAAATTTTTTTCATATTATCTTAGTTCAACTTTAAAAAAAATTTATTTTAGTTTGTTATGGAATGTTCTTTTATCCTTTGAGAATGTGATTGGCATGCTAACATCTGACCTTGTCCACTCTCTAGGGCTACTCCTACGTTGCTCCGTCCATCATCTTCACAGAGAACTCAGTCAGTGCTGACCTCTTGCACATCAACAAAGAACAACAACCTGATGACGCCACCATCTTTACCGCTAGTCATTTTAAGGTCAGCAAACACAAATAATGTGAATTCAGCTTTATTAACTCATCATCAGAATTTTTTTTCAAAAGTATACATAGAATTAAAAAAGGGACTGTACTCTTAAAATGGATCATTAATAGTAACAATGTTTTTTCGATACAGTTACCTCCCCTTTTTAAAGTTCTTGGAAAAATTATCAATCAATTCAACCTAAAATCCTTCAATTATTTCACCTCCATTAATTCTGTTGGACTGATATTTGTGCTTTGACTTATTGGTTTCTAGATATCTTTTAAAATGTCCCCATTTATTATCTTTCTTTAATAACAATTGATTTTTTCAATTATTTTTGTCATTAGTTGATCATAGTGATGAAAAGTTTAATGTTTTGAAATTATGCAATGCTGTAACTTTCTCTTTTGTAGAACTCGCCATTCTTTCAAAAGTATGAGCTAGATATGAGGGTGCCTGTATTGGGGGATGGTACTTTTTCTATATGCAGGTAAATAGTTTTAAAATCTTTTACAACTGACATGCTTTTATTAGATAAAAGAATTTGTTTTTTTAGCTTTGTTTGTTTTCCAAAGTTAGCTTTGATTTTATTCCTTTTTGTAAGGTACCTTGTCTTTTATTTTCCTGTCTTAGAGTTACCTTTTGTTTTCGTTTTTTTAAGTTACATTTTTCATTTGCCCAGAAAATGCCGTAACATGTCGACCAATCAGGAGTTTGCTGTGAAAATTGTCAGTCGTCGAATCAATTGTAATCGAGAGGTCCATCTCCTGAGTCATTGTCAGGGTCATCCAAACATTGTCCAGCTGATTGATGTCATGGTTGATGATGTGAGTCTTCACGCTTGATATGTTTTTAGTGTAAATGTGGTGTTGGTTATAATGATGGGCTATCAAATAATACCTCACAAAATAATGCATGAGAATTTAATTTTTAATCAGTAACTAATGATATCTAAGAATGACCTTATGTAAAATGTAGCATAATAAAACATCTTTCCTTGAAATATGACTAAATGAAACAATTAGTATAGTGAGTTAGAATGTACCTGTTTTTCGGTTTCCCTTATTTTTTGGAGACTTTTTTCTGCTAACCATTTAAAAAACCTTAAGGTACAAGCTTTAGCAACAGTTTTAAAGTTGAGGGACTCCTACCAGTCTAGATTTATATACTTAAACTGTAGTAATACTGTGTAACAAAAATAGTTTTTGCACTATTTTCTTAATAAATTTATTCTTTACTTGTGCAGTACCATACCTATATAGTGATGGAGCTGTTGAAAGGGGGAGAACTCCTGGCCAGACTGAGACAGAAGAAAGTGTTCACTGAGGTTGAGGCAAGTGAGTTGATGTGGAAGCTGGTTAAGGCTGTGGAGTTTATGCACAGTAGGGGAGTGGTGCATCGGGATCTTAAGCCAGAGGTACGTGCTCACAAGTTGTTTGTTAACTCTGTTTTCACGTACTAGATAAGTAAAGTTTTTAGTTTAATACTGTCAAATATTTAAAGTAAATATTTTTGGCTATTATGAGGGGGAAAATACATATGCTTCTCATAGTATTGAAATTAAAATCTTAATTACATCTTTTAAGTTATCATCATTAAATGATTCTATTATTAATTATTTGATTCTTCATTAACGTTATCTCCATATTTTAAACTGTATGAACAAAGTTGTACATTGTGTGAACAAAGTTGTTAAAAAAAAAGTTGTAATAACAAATTTGTAAAAATTTGTTAATTGTATAAACAAAGTTGTAAATTGTATGAACAAAGTTGTAAACTGTATGAAGAAAGTTGTAAATTGTGTTTTCTAGAACCTTCTGTTTGTCGACAAGTCTGAGAAAGCTGAGCTGAAAATCGTGGACTTTGGTTTTGCCACGATGAACCCCAAGAACGAGACCATGATGACCCCATGTTTCACCCTGCCGTACAGCGCCCCTGAGGTCTTGAAACAGATCACAAACCGTAAAGATGGCTACGATGAGAGTTGTGATTTGTGGAGTCTGGGTGTCATTTTGGTGAGTTTTTTTATATTAGTAGATTCTACATTTTTAGAATTTAGAATAGTTCTTAGAATTCATCACTCGGTGACGTAATGTAATTTTCTGAAATCACAGTCAGTTACTGATTAGTCATTAGAATTTATTTTATCACTAACGAAGTGTTTGCATTTTCTTAGAGATAACTTTAATGAAATTGACAATAAAAGATTAGGAAATATTGCTAAAATAGTCAAAATTATCCTCGTTTTTAAAGAATATATTTTAAGAGCCATCTGATCTATTTGTAGTAAATAAGAAACAGCTGAAATTAAAAGTTGGTAAAAAAAAAAAAAATTTTCTGACATCTCATCTGTTATAGAAATATTATCCTTGTCATAACAAAAAAAACTATAAGAGCATCTCATCTGTCTTGTAAATATTACCCTTGTTATGAGAAAAAAAAATTAATAATACATTTTCATCTGTTTTGGAAATATTATCTTTGTCATAAAAAAACAACTATAAGAGTATCTTGTTTGTCTTGGATATATCCTTGTCAGAAAAAAACAAATATAATAGCATCTCATCTGCTTTGGATATATCCTTATCATAACAAAGCAAAAGCTCTAATAGCATTTTGTCTGTTTTCAGTACTCCATGCTGTCAGGCAAGGCACCCTTCCAGAACTCCAATGGGCCAGACAATGCCATGAATATAATGCAGCGCATCAAGGACGGCTTGTTTGACCTGAGTGGCCCAGAGTGGAATGACGTCTCAGCCCCAGCCAAACAGCTGATCCAGGGTACGTTGTCTAAGTTTTCTTTTGCCCAAAGTTGGTGTGTTAAAATTAGAATCTAATTTGATGTGAGTGGGTGAAGCTGAAGTGTCATTGTCCAGTCATATCTAGGCATAAAGCAGAAATTATTATTGATTTTGATTTCATTGCTAAATTCCAGTTATGCTATTAAATCAAAATGTGTTGAGTAAATTCTGCAAAGTCAGGTTTATTTGATGCTGTGTTTTGAGTGAATTTGTACTGTGTGTTGAGTGAATTTATCAAGTCTGGTATATTTATATTGTGAGTTGAATGAATTTATCAAGTCTGGTATATTTCTATTATGTTGAGTGAATTTATCAAGTCTGGTTTTTTGTATTATTGTATTGAATGAATTCATTAAGTTTGGTATATTTGTATTGTGTATTGAATTAATTTATCAAGTCTGGTATATTTGTATTATTGTTTTGAGTGAACTTATCAAGCCTGGTATATTTGTACCATGTGTTGAATGAATTCATCAAATGTTTTATCTGATTGACAGGCTTACTGACAGTGGAGCCCAAGGAAAGAATCTGCATGCACGACCTGCTGAAACACAAGTGGCTGCGGAAGAACGTCAAGTCTCCCATATCCAGCATGCCCCTCAGGACCCCCGGGGTCCTCAGCTCACACAACAACGCAGTCAAGGACCAGATCAACTGCACGATGGAAGCTTTCCACCAGGCCACCAGAGACGGCTTCCGCCTTCAAGAAGTTGCCACCGCGCCCTTGGCCAAACGGCGGAAGCAGAAGAAGAACTCGCTGGACCGGAGCAGCTCCACAGACAGCAATAACTCCAGCTCCACCACCTCGTCGTGCGGGGCCAGGAAATCCCCGGCCAGGCAGTCCCCAGTCCGGGCCCTGTCCAGAAACTCCAGTGCCTCCAGTATCTCCCAGAGCTCCGTCTGCAGCATGGGCTTCGTCCCCAACATCACCAACAACCCTTCACCTTTGGCCTCCATGAGATCCACCCCCGACATCACCCAGACCGCGACCTGCGCCAACAACAACAACATCGTCCTCACACCAGCCACATCCCATGGGTTTACCTCCATCGCACCCCAACCCACTTCTCACACCGCCCCCACCCCCATATCCCCAATTCACATTCCCTCGATCGACAGCGTAGAGGATGTCGAGGACTCGACCAAGTCCCCACCTGTCAAAGGAAAGCGTGGGAGCAGAAAAAACAATAACAATATCATTCCCCCCTCCAGGCTTACAAGAGGGCAGAAAAGGAAAATGGAGTCGTCTTCAGTTGAGGAAGACGATCACGATGAAGACGACTGTGTGATTGTAGAAAGGAATTACATCAAGCCAGGGAAGGGAGCATTCAAGCGTTTGAAATCTGAAACAATTGTGATAGACTGAGCGGTGTGGATGTTGGTTGGACTGATGAGACTTTGTGGTCAAACATTTGGCCTGCTGGTCATACATTTGGCCTTGTTGGTCATACATTTGGCCTTGGTGGTCATACATTTGGCCTTGGTGGTCATACATTTGGCCTAGTGGTCATACATTTGGCCTGGATATTCATGATGTGGTATTTACATTGGTTTGAAGCATCACAAGTTTGGACTGTGATATTTCAAGGAAGTTGAGAATTAAATCTCCAGCCTAATGCATTGTATGGAGCCAGATACACGATATCCAACTAATTTGGTGTATGGAGCTAAATACACAATCTTGTACTATGTTGTATGGAGCTAAATACACAATCTCCAACCTAATATGTTCTACGGAGCCAACATTAAGCAATGGACAGTGCCAAATAATTCTATCCTGGCATCTCTCACTTTAATTATTACAACAGACGCCAGTGTTCATGAACCCATGTTCGTTTAACGAGTACATCTCAACATTTTAAAGGTTCGTTTTCTGAACTAGTGATAAACTATAACCCACAATTATCAGAATACTAGATAGGGCATATTTTTTTTAGTTGAAAAAAAAAATATCTCTATCATTCAAATGAAGTTTTAAAAACTGTTTAAATGATATAATGGTTTGAGTGAATGATATGTTTTATAGACTGAGTGATCAAGGGGAAATTACTCCAGTCACTTCACTAAATCAGTATGTTTTCCTCGAGTGCTGGTGTGTGTTGGTTTTTAACTTTTCTATGTAAACTAAAAATTTTTATTAAGCTAAAAAAAAATTTAAAGGTCGAATGTGTATAATTTAAAAATAAGGGTGAGCCTAATTAAATAAAGGCAAGAGGAGACTTTGTTATGCTAACAGTCATGGTTATTATAACTGTTGGCGTACCAATTTGATAATTCATATAGAATTGTGATCAATCCCAAGTGTCTAAATATTGTAATTTTCTTTTTTTTTTCAAGTCTTTCATCTATTATATACAACTCATTTCTTGCCTTATCATCGCACTGTGATGGATACTTCTTGTCTCTCATTCAGAAGTCATGTCTTTTTAGGGTTAGAGATTCTCAACTTGCCTATAACTCATGGGGGTTAGAGGTTCTCAACTCTTTGAGTTAGAGGTTCTCAGCTAGCCCGTAACTCATGGTATTAGAGGTTCACAATTTGCCTATAACTCGTGGTATTAGAGGTTCTCAAATTGCCCATAATTCATAATGTTAGATGTTCTCACCTTGCCCAAAAATCATAGGGTTGGAGGCAATGTTTCCTCTGAGCGGAAAAAGCTATTGTGCAAAGTTTATTATGTATGCGCGCCATTCTAAAGTCTTATACAAGGTCATATGTACTTCACAAAATGACTGCACAGCAGATCAAAACTACTGCCCCGCTGCGCTACCGTGCAGCTTAGAGGAAACATTGGTTGGAGGTTGTCAACTTGGCCGATGTCAGACAATTCTCAGCCCTCACATAGATGGGTTTATTCTCTGACATCAGTGTGCCAGGCATTGGTTTGTAGTTGTCACTGTGACCGCAGTAGCTTATTCCAAAGATAATTATGAGGGCAAGTCAAAGTGATCTTAAAAACTAAGGGAGCATAGAGGTTGTTCTGTTGATAAAATATTGTATTTCCTTTATGCTTTTACAAGTTTAGTAACACTATATGTTGACTAAAGAGTTATGACTTTTTATATATTTTGGATAGTTGCTTGTGGTTCTGGGAGTCATAAAATATCTCTCTAGTAAAACTTGTTGTGGGAGGTCATAAAATATCTCTCTAGTAAAACTTGTTGTGAAATTAAAATAAAAACTGGCCTTGCTTGTACGTGCAGGCACAAGTTAGAGCACTCAGCAGGTAGTGGCTAACTATTTACACCTGTTTAAAGGTGATTTACCTGCCACTTTTGATACAGGTAGTTTCTCCTGTGCTGTTCTGCATGCCGCATCAAGTTTGTTATCTTGTGTTGCTTAGCAACAAACATCTCCATAGCATTTGTCAGTTAAAATGTCTACTTCAAATTTTATAACTGCAACTTGTTAACAAAGTGCAGAGGTTTTTTGTTTTGTTTTTTTTTTCCACATTCCCAGTTGTGTGTATTTTGTCATTTTATTTTAGCATTTCATTTTTTCTGAACCTGATTCATAATATAATGTTAATGTAACAAGTAGAATATTGGGATGAAAAAATATGAAACTTCTGAAGTATATATTATACAAAACTTAATATTTAATATACTCATTGACCGATTGAGTGAGTTAGTTCCCTTGGAGGAGCAGACTTTTTAAATTTTTATACAAGTCATTGACTGGGTGCACTTGTGAATGTTTTGATTTTATATATACCTACAGAACACAACACACTCGTATGTATGTTGTTTTTCTTTTACATGATAAATATGTTATTCATATACATGTTTATGTTAGAGTTGGTTCGATGACGCTTAATTTATTTGTACACTTTCCTGAATGTCCTGCTTTTCTATGGCTTAGTGCTGTCAAGTATTGTCAATTTGTTCCTTTATTTGATTCCTAGTTTTTATAAACTTGTACATTTAAATCTTTTAAAAATATAAGAAGCTAGTGTTTTATCTATCTTAATGCCATACCTATTACAACTAAGAAGACAAAATGCTTTCAGCTTGGGTCGAGCTGATTTGCAGGAGGGGGGGGGGGATGATACATACATACATTTTAAAGTAGGTTATATTCAAGTAGGTTATTGTTGTAAGTACATCAGATGGTTAGTGAAGAAATGGGATAATTCCAAAAAAAAATATAACAATTTTTAAAAATGTAACCAGTACTTTTACCATATGCCTAGTTTCTAATTTAAACTGAAGTAGGATTTCTTCAGTCTAGTATGTTTGTAGGGGATCTCTCACTCTTTTTTTAAAATAAAACTTTGCTTAAATTAATGATACAAGGGAAACAATTCTTAACTTAGCTAACAGTAACCCTCCTCAAAAGAAATGTTTAAAGTTCTTAAATACAACTATCTATTGTGGACTCAATTCATTTAATTCTGTGGAAAAAATATATTCTTTTGTTGTTTTTTTTCCTGTGTATGCTTTAGTATTACAATTTTATGGGCTTTTGTATTTAAAAGCCCTAAAGGTGCATTGAAAGGTTTGCATGTAAGATAAATTTACTGGAGAAGGGACGTAACTCTATAAATAAAACGTTTTGCATTGCATAGTCTTCAGCCAGAATGAAATAACTATAGAGGGACGTAACTCTAAAAGCACTAGTCTTGTCTGTCTACAATCATTTTGTCTTGCTCAATGTTGATGATTTCATTTAAATTATACATAGATTTTACAATGCCTAGCTGCTTTATTTTATTTTTTTGCTATATACAATAATTTCAGTATGTAAACCATGATTTTATGTGTACATAGTTGTTAAATAAAAATATTTGCATATTATTATTAAATGAAATGTGTGTACTCTAAGAGCAGGATTTACAAATTTAGAGAAATGAAATATTTATAGATTATCATCTCTGGTGTTTTTGCAGTTGGACAGATTAATTCATTATTTTAATTACTTAATTTATATGAAATGTGTGTGAGTGTTGAAGAAATTGTGAGAAATTTTTTTAATCTGTTTTGTGATTGTAAAAGAGGAGGTAACTGGGTTATTTTTTTCTATTGTTAATCATTGGTGTTATACAAGTCCAACATTCATGTTAATCTTTGAGGTTAAACCAGTCCAACAGGCTTGTTAATCTTTGAGATTAAACCAGTCCAACAGGCTTGTTAATCTTTGAGGTTAAACCAGTCCAACAGGCTTGTTAATCTTTGAGGTTAAACCAGTCCAACAGGCTTGTTAATCTTTGAGATTAAACCAGTCCAACAGGCTTGTTAATCTTTGAGGTTAAACCAGTCCAACAGGCTTGTTAATCTTTGAGATTAAACCAGGCATATTAATCCTTAGATTAACAGACTTCTCAAGTCATTTGTAGTCCAACAGAATACCTTAGTGTAACTTGTTGGATTGCCATATTGTGTTGTTTTGTGTGTTGCTTTCAGTGTCTTTTGTCTAGTTATTTAATTGCCTTGTGTCCACTGATGTTAATAAGTTGTTACTGGTAAATTACTTGATATTTATGATTGTGGTTTTCCAGATAATTATTTTTTTTTTGTTAATGAATTGGATGATCAGGATGATAAATACATTTACCCATGACTATCGTACATCTTTGTTGATTTTTAATTTTCAGTGTGGATTTAAGTACTTGAATATTTTTTTCTATCTTCGTTCTTAATTCTTCTTCTTCGTTCTTAATTTTAGTGTTGGAAGGTATCCCCTCCATCACAATTAAGTATACATGTCAACTGGTTATGCGCCATTGAGGCCATTGACTCTGATTTCGGCTTGCTTTTTTTTTTTGGATTTGTTTCCATAGCCTTTGTCCAACCAAGAACAAACTGCAAGGCAGCAGTTGTTTGATTTTGGAGTTGTCTCAAGAGTGGCTGTCTTTTAATTTAAGAGGAAATTTCCTACAACAAAATTAAGTATTACTTGTGAACAACTTATGCACCTTATGTCCCCTCGAGTGACCCGCCTTTTTTTCTCTGGTTGTACTTCAAAAAATTGAAACGAAAGACATGAAAGTGATGAGAAAGAGTTGGAAGAAATTTTTTTTTCAAATAACAAAAGACAGAAAAAAAGCATGAAAGAAGATATTGTAGTTGGCCTAAGCTGTGGGGTGGACTGGCCCACCTGACTATCGGGAAGAATCTAGGTGGGCCCCAGGAACTTTGCTGCTGTGATAGTCCTATTAGTGTTCTGATTTTAAAAACAATGTGTTGGTATTTCTCTATTTTACCATTTCCCTTCCTTCATATCAAGGCGTAAAGTTGAAAAAGATGGGTGAAAATGCACGATGAACATTTTAAAATTGTACTGGCCTCTTGGACACAGCCGATTCACTTCTGCCTAAGTTCCTGTGAGTAGAATAAAGCATAGTAAAGCCGTTTAAAATTCGGTAGTATTTTGCTATGAACCCTGTTAAAATAACGACCAATGATACTCTAAAAAACGGAAACCACATGATCATATCGTAACTTGTTGTACTGAACTGCAATCAAACCGTTGTGATGACGGGGTCGTGACTCCCATAGTGTGAGAACCCCGGCAGGAGACATCACCAACCACGGCAGACGTCCAACCAAGACAACCAGCACCAAACAAGAAGATACGACATGACAATATTACTGTCCGTTGGGGGAGGGGGGGGGGGGCGTGTCCAGACATAATTAGAACACAGATACGGGGCGTATAGTATGCCATTAGCTGTAAACACCCTAAAATGTTGCAGATATTTTATCTTTATGTAAACAATACCAACGCCGGATTTAAAAAAAATTCTAGCGGACAGTTAAATAATGCAGCACCTACGACACCGCCAGTAACAATTATTTATTCTTATAAATCTATTCGTTTTTAAATATTAAACAATTTTTATATTATAAAATTAAATTTTATAAAATTGAAATTTCATTTTTTCAATGGGGGAATCACTATCTAAATCTATATTCTAAGTATTTATTAAATATTAAAATAAATAAAAACAATTTTTTTTTTCCTAATTTAAAGTGACAACAAAAGCAATGAAAGAAAGCGTTCGTTTAGCAGTTGTTTTCCAATTGTATTTATAGCTAAGGTTTGTCGTTTTTTTTTTTGTTTTTTTTTTAACATTTATTATTTTTAACATAAAACTGTAAAACAACATTTACAGTAATTTGGAGCCTTCCCTTCTGCAAGAGAATTTTGAACGTCTGCTAGAGTGTCAATCTGTGCCAGAGTTTGATGCGCCAGATTTTTAACGTGCCATCACTATGAGTTGTTGCCTAGTTGATACTGACATGAGATTTTAAAACTATATTTTTAACAACAGGATAATTTGAAAAAAAACAAACTATTATATGATGAAGTTTTTTGCCGTGGTTTGTTTCGTGTTGTCCCTTACAGGTGAGCTTAATCAATTTTTTTATAAATATATTTTAGAACTTTTCTATTTTCAAGTAGATAATTTCATACTGAAACAAGTAAACCCTACTTCACCTGCTCTATGTAGCGTCAGTTTCGAAACGGAACTTATTTTAATAAACAACCATCAAAATTAAGACGTTAACATCTAAGCTATGTTGAGCTTAGGAAAAAATCGCCTTAATCATCCTTTGATCTATTGTTCGATTTTAATTACAATTTATATACAATTCTGTTAAAATGCGAAGTAACTGCTAAACTTCAGTTTAAAACATTTCTATCTAAAATAAAAAAGAATGACGTCACATTTTCTGATTTGTAAACACCAGTTCACATGACTGATAGAATGATGGCTGCCAATTATTTGGAAAGATTAAAATTAATCACTCCTTAATTAATCAGTCAAAATTTATTGTTTCGATTTGACTAACCCCCAGCCACCCCCCACCCCCTACCACTCACCCGGACAAATAAGATTCGAACTCAATCACGAACTTAACCAAGGAACGTTTTTAAATTAACCCTTACCAAATAGTTTACTTTAATGCAGCCTATATCAGATTTAATCTTTAGCATTTTGTAGCGAAATATAAAAGCTACTTTATTTTTAGACAATTTGAAACGTGTTACAAAGTAGATCAATCGTGTATACAATAAAGTGTTTTAAAAAATCCTTATGCAGTCTTCTATTATGGTAATACCAATCATTCTTCCAATCACCTTTTATTATGGCAATACCAATCATTCTTTCTATCACATTTCATCATACCAATACCAATCATTCTTCCCCTGATCTAGAGAGAGGTGAAGCTATTTTGAAGAAATGGAACCTGGACGCCAATTTTGAGAACCCCAACAACTGGGATACCAAGAAAGTCCCGTGCGGAAATGACGTCACGACGATCCCCGAGCACAGTCCCGTGATCTTCATGAACACGCAAGCCACGCTGAAGGAGCTGGTGAGTACCTAGGGCTCGTGACGGAGCCGGTATATGACGGAGCCGGTAAGTGACGGAGCCGTACTGTGACGGAGCCGGTATGTGACGGAGCCGGACTGTGACGGAGCCGGTATGTGACGGAGCCGTACTGTGACGGAGCCGGACTGTGACGGAGCCGGTATGTGACGGAGCCGGACTGTGACGGAGCCGTACTGTGACGGAGCCGGACTGTGACGGAGCCGGTATGTGACGGAGCCGTACTGTGACGGAGGCCGGTAAGTGACGGAGCCGTACTGTGACGGAGCCGGACTGTGACGGAGCCGGACTGTGACGGAGCCGGTATGTGACGGAGCCGGACTGTGAGACACAATGTTACGGAGAAGGTACTTTGACAGCGACGGCATGACTTGTGACATGTAACAGAGCCACAAAGATTTACTTTTACAGAAATACTTACTGACCCTCTTCCCAACCCACCCCACCCTTAATACTTTTTATGTTAAACTTACATGTACACGTACACATTTGACATACACATATGCAGACGTATTCGTATGAGTATACACATATACATATGTATGTATATACGTATATATCAATGTATATACGTATATATGAATAAATATACAAATACATATACACAGTTGCGTCACAAGGTGGGTACAGTCAGCACCGGGTGACGCCATTTAGAGGGTGACGCCATGACAAAAAAAAAAAACCCCGTAAAATTTTACTGTGAAAACAACGTTTTATTCAGTTCAAATAACACAATAGGAGGGGAAGATGGGTGACACTAAACCGAAAAAACAACATTATTGGAGGAGAGGGAGGGGGGTGACACCCTCTGTTACCGCACCTGGTGACACCCCATCCAGTGACGCCACTGCATATACACATAAACATCCGCATGACGGCACACAATAAATTTCTAACCTATTTGTTTTCTCAAGCAACTACCCAGCAATGCGGAGATCATCTTTGGCCTGAATGCTGGGATTTCCTTCAGCGACGCCCCTTACCCAGGGTGTAACAAGAGCGAATACGGTAAGACACAGTGTCTGTCTTGTCTACGTGTCTTATCGTGGTGGTTGTGTCTGCTCTGTGTGTGTGGGGGGGGGGGGGGGGTCTTTCAGATATTTTTGCTCCGAGGGTGGGGGGATTTGAAACTTCTGGATAGGGGTAACTATAATCATGGTTAAAGTACCATGTATTTTCTATTTAAAAGCCGGCTGTGGACGTGCTCTGGTAGGGAGTGCCTACCCCCCCCCCGCACCCCAGAGTTTCTTCCAGGCATCTCTTCGCCCCCCCCCCCCCCCCGAACGAAATGAAATTTATGTAATTTATATAGAAAATATATACTTTTAACAGTGTCCGCCCCCCCCCCAAAGAAAGTCTACGCCCCCCCCCCCCGAAAATTTCAAGTGCCCCCCCCCTCCCGGAGAAAAAAGTCTGGAAGAAACACTGCCCCACCTCCACTCTTCTCGTAGTGGCCCGAAAGAAACCTTGTCTCTATGTGTCTAGCCTGTGATGTTTTATCTATGAGTGTGTATGTGTGTATGTGCATCACCTCTCTTCTACCTCCCCGACCCCGACCCACCCCATTACACCAAGTAGCACATTGTCGCATTAGTGTTTTACATAAGACACCCCCCCCCCCCCTTTTTCCAGTGTGTGTGCGAGTCGACTCTTGAAGGTAGTGTGTGTTGAAGTGTCAGTGTGTGTGTGTATATATATACTTGTTCAGTGTCCTACTGTCCAACTTTACGAAAACATATCTCTCCCCCCCCCCCCCCACAGGCATGACCTTCGCGGCCATCACCCCCCAACCCTGGCTGGACCCAGCCAGCTGGTGCCCCACCTCCCAGAGCTCCCCCGGGGCGGCGTGCGTCACGACCACTCCCCTCCTGGACACCGAGATGGTGCCGTGTCCCTACGATGACGTCATCTTCCCCAAAGAGCACACGTTCCTGGTCGACCTGACCAGCGCGGGGAACGCCAAGTTCAAGGTCAAGTCTCTGAAGATGTGGCAGGAGGTAGGTGCTGCTGTAGCTCAAGGCTGAGTTGATGGGGGTAGGGGACGGTGGCGTATGACTTGTGATGAAAAGTGTAGTGGGGGGGGGGGGGGGGTTGGGGGTGTTTACGTTTTTGTAAAAATTGCATGACGTCATTTGCCGGGTATTGGATATTTTTAAAGTCAGCTCACTCCATCAGAGTTTCTTTCAGGCATCTATTCGGCAGAGCCTTTAGACCTCCTCTCCACCCCCAACCCCCCCCCCCCCCTCCAGAACGACTACCGCCCCCCCCCCCCCCCCCCCCACCAAAACGAAATAGAATTTATATAGGAAATATATACTTTTACCAGTGTTCGCCCCCTCCCCACACCATCCCCCTTGGAAAATTTAGTCCGCCTCCCCCCACCCCAAACGAAAATTTCAAGTGCATCCCCTCCCCCCACCCCTGGAAAAAAAAAGTCTGAAAGAAACACTACACTCCATTAAAGTTAGACTTAAGACAAACTCATTACATTTGAGATAGACATCATTAAATCAACTTACTCCATTCAGCTAGACAGATTTAAGACAATTCACTGTTCCTGATAGACAGATTTAAGAATACTTACCCTTAATTGTTAACATTGCGATAAAACATTTCACACTCATTTGTACTTCAATGTTATCCGCATTTCTAAAACGTCATTTCAATATGACGGTGTATGTCATTTAATGAAATATTGGTGTATGTCGTTTTAATATGACGGTGTATGTCATTTAATGAAATATTGGTGTATGTCGTTTTAATATGACGGTGTATGTCATTTCAGTATAACAGTGTATGTCATTTCAATATGGCCGTGTATGTCATTTCAATATAACGGTGTATGTCATTTCAATATAACGGTGTATGTCATTTCAACATATCGGTGTATGTCATTTCAATATGGCCGTGTATGTCATTTCAATATAACGGTGTATGTCATTTCAATATAACGGTGTATGTCATTTCAACATATCGGTGTATGTCATTTCAATATGGCCGTGTATGTCATTTCAATATAACGGTGTATGTCGTTACAATATAGCGGTGTATGTCGTTACAATATAGCGGTGTATGTCGTTACAATATAGCGGTGTATGTCGTTACAATATAGCGGTGTATGTCGTTACAATATAGCGGTGTATGTCGTTTTAATATGACGGTGTATGTTGTTTTAATATGACGGTGTATGTTGTTTTAATATGACGGTGTATGTCATTTCAATATAGCGGTGTATGTCGTTTTAATATGACGGTGTATGTTGTTTTAATATGACGGTGTATGTCATTTCAATATAGCGGTGTATGTCGTTTTAATATGACGGTGTATGTTGTTTTAATATGACGGTGTGTGTCATTTCAATATAGCGGTGTATGTCGTTTTAATATGACGGTGTATGTTGTTTTAATATGACGGTGTATGTCATTTCAATATAGCGGTGTATGTCGTTTTAATATGACGGTGTATGTTGTTTTAATATGACGGTGTATGTCGTTTTTAATATGACGGTGTATGTCGTCTCAATATAACGATGTATGTCTTCATGAAAGAACCATTTCTCCTCCTCCAGACTTTCTACTCCAGCGATACCATCAGCAGATACCTCAACTCGTCCTATGGTAGACGGACGTTCCCCCTGGGCCCGGGGGTGGGGACGGACAGGTTTGAATTCACGCGCGGCTGTAGTCAGGTGGGAGGCTGCCCGTGCGGGAATGACAGACCCGAGGTTTGACCTTTTGACCTCATCAAAACTTCACATTCATATCTACAACTTCAATGTCCCCTTCACTAATTCATATCTACAACTTCAATGTCCCCTTCACTAATTCACATGTGTACCCGTCACAATTTCCATGTCCTGCCACAAATGCACATCCACGTCTTCCATTTTCTGTTACAAATTCACATTTGTTATTTTCATTTCCTCGTTGTATTCACATTTACAACTTCCGTGGCCCTTTAAACAAATTCACATTTATAAGTTCCATGTTCAGTCACATATTCACATTTTCTACTTTTATGTCCTCGTCAGTAATCCACATTTACAACTCGTGTGTCTTTATCACAAATTCATATTTGCAACATTTATGTCCCGCCACACATTCACATTGGCAACTTTCATGTCCCTGTCAAAAATTCACATTTACAACTTACATGTCCCTCTAAAACAAATTCACATTTACAATTTGAATGTCCCCGTCACAAATTCCTATTTTCTACTTTCATGTCTTCATCAGAAATTCACATTTACACCTTATGTGTCTTTATATGAAATTCACATATACAACTCGTGTGTCTTTATCAGAAATTCACATTTGCAATTTCCATGTCCCTGCCACAAAATGACATTTACAACTTCTATGTCACTGTCATAAATTCACATTATAACTCACATGTCCATGTACACAAATTCATATCTACATCTTCCACGAAGAAATGTTGATTAAAGATACAAAAGTTTTCACACACGTTTTCAATTTTTTTGTATTTCCTCGTTACATTCACATTAACAACTTGTCTGTATTTATCGCTAATTCATATTTGCAACATTTATGTCCCCACCACAAATTAACATTTCCAACTTTCATGTCCTTGTTACATTCACATTTCCAACTTTCATGTCCTTGTTAAATTCACATTTCCAACTTTCATGTCCTTGTTACATTGACATTTCCAACTTTCATGTCTTCGTTATATTCACATTTCCAACTTTCATGTCTTCGTTATATTCACATTTCCAACTTTCATGTCTTCGTTATATTCACATTTCCAACTTTCATGTCTTCGTTATATTCACATTTCCAACTTTCATGTCTTCGTTATATTCACATTTCCAACTTTCATGCCATTGTTATATTCACATTTCCAACTTTCATGACATTGTTATATTCACATTTCCAACTCGCAGATCGCCAAACAAATTTGCTCCTACGCCGGACAAAGATGCACGCGACCCCGGTGTAAAAACGCCATACAGCCCGTGGGGGCGTGCTGCAAGATGTGTGGTAGGTCACGTGATGTGCTAGAGGTCATCTGATGTTTGTTAGGTCAAATGGCGCGTGTCAGACGAATGTGTGGTGGTACGTTCACGTGTAAATGATAGGTCAGTTGATGTGTGATAGGTCAGTTGATGTGTGATAGGTCAGTTGATGTGTGATAGGTCAGTTGATGTGTGATAGGTCAGTTGATGTGTGATAGGTCAGTTGATGTGTGATAGGTCAGTTGATGTGTGATAGTTCAACAGATGTGTGATAGGTGACTTGATGTTTGAAAATTCAACTGATGCTGTTTTACTTACCTTTTACAATCACAGTTAGGTTGTGAAAATCTATTCTTCTGTTTTTTCAATTAGCTATTCAGCTATGATTACTAATTTATTTTAATCATGATACATGTTTAACATGATTACTATTTAGTATTTAAAATTATTATTATTTCGTTTCCAAATAATTATTTATTCTTTTTTTTTAAATTTTGTATTACTTTTTTTTATTATAATAAATAGGAGCAGTGTTTAACTTGACAACCGGTTACGGCTTTAACTTCGAGAATTTTAAAAGTGCCGTCAACAATTTGTTCTCTAAAAACGTAAGCAGACGACTCCATGTTAACATTTCTAGAGATAAAGATGCCCCTTCGAATCTGGGGGCCAATGGGGCAGATGAAGTAGAGTTATTTCTGTGACATCCGCTCACGAAGGAGTAATTTAGTCAGCACAATGTCCAGCCTTTACTTTACCTAAAAAAAAGTTAGGTACTTATCAGAGCTGGGTGGACTTACGGATGTGTTCGGGATCCGAACTCGAGACTTTCGGGTTAGCAGTCGAGCGCTCTACTCCCTGACCACACCATTCCACATTCTAAGGATAGTTAAGTCCCATTGAGCTCGCTCAGCTATGATGAGTACCTGACAAGAGTTAGAGAAAGAAAAAAGTAGTCATTTCAAACGCATGGTTTTAGTATATCATTTCCTTAAATGCTTAAAGCCAAGCCATGGATATGTTTAATCGGAGCTTAGAGTTTGAGTTAATTAAGCTCAGCTTTCAACTCCATTGACCAGGAACTGATGACTCACGCTTTACAGCGTTAGGTCTTGGCTTGATTTAGACATGTACTCTTTGTTTATATTTTTATTAACCCCCCCCCCCCCCACCCCCCGACACACACATACACATACGCACACACACACTCACACACACATACGCACACAAATTATTGATGAAAACAACTGAACTAAACACAACAGGCCAGCGATGGCGTCAAGCTGTACACGTCACTGACCAACGAAGGCTGGGTACAGGTGGTGCTGAGCGACTCAGACCAGGTGAAAAGTTTACAGTGGGCGGCGGTGCTGAGGGACGCCCTTAAGACAGGTGAGCTGTGACGTCATGGGCGCTGTACGGGCGTCAGTACTCGTCAGTTGATGGGGGGGGGGGTGTCGGTGGGGGGAGGGTGGGGGTTGGTTTGTGGAAGTGAGGAATTTTTTGTGTTGGGTTGTAAGTTAGGGGGAGAGGCAGTGAGGGGGATAGAAGTTGTGGTGGGAGAAGGCGGTGAGGGGGATAGAAGTTGTGGTGGGAGGGGTGCGGTGAGGGGGAGGATAGAAGTTGCGGTGGGAGGGGTGCGGTGAGGGGGAGGATAGAAGTTGCGGTGGGAGGGGTGCGGTGAGGGGGGGGGGGGTAGAAGTTGCGGTGGGAGGGGGGTGGTGAGGGGGGGGGTAGAAGCGGTGGGAGGGGGGCTGTGAGGGGGGATAGAAGTTGCGGTGGGGTTGGGGGGGGGGGTGGTGGAGCGTTGGTCGAGTTAGCAGTTGGGGTGGATTACTACTGAGCTGACCGCACTGCAGAAGGGAGCCAGGAATTTCAGGGCCTCTTGAGATGGTATACAGTGACGGCGTGGTCGTAGGTTAGAGCTAACAACTGCGAGAGTCTCGAGTTCGGAACCCGGGCTCGGGTTCTTAAGACATCTCTAAGCCCACCCAGCTCTGATGGGTACCTGACTCACGTTTGGGAAATCAATGGCGGGTGGGTATACTACTGACCACACTATTCCTTCATATGCCGTGGTCACACTCATAGAAACAGGTGAACTCTACTTCATTTGCCGTATGGACCGTCAAGTTTAAAGGGTAACTTTTTACCCCAAATAATCAATTAGCAACTGTCACTCTTTGAATTTATATACTGTTGTCACGAGGCTTGTTTTGTCCATCAGATATCAACAGCGGTTCTCATATTTTTGCTGTGTGTGTTGTCACGAGTCTTGTTTTGTCCGTCAGATATCAACAGCGGTTCTCATATTTTTGCTGTGTCTATTGTTGTCACGAGTCTTGTTTTGTCCGTCAGATATCAACAGCGGTTCTCATATTTTTGCTGTGTCTATTGTTGTCACGAGTCTTGTTTTGTCCGTCAGATATCAACAGCGGTTCTCATATTTTTGCTGTGTCTATTGTTGTCACGAGTCTTGTTTTGTCCGTCAGATATCAACAGCGGTTCTCATATTTTTGCTGTGTGTGTTGTCACGAGTCTTGTTTTGTCCGTCAGATATCAACAGCGGTTCTCATATTTTTGCTGTGTCTATTGTTGTCACGAGTCTTGTTTTGTCCGTCAGATATCAACAGCGGTTCTCATATTTTTGCTGTGTCTGTTGTCACGAGCCATGTTTTGTCCATCAGATATCAACAGCGGTTCTCATGTTTTTGCTATCGACCACATGATCGACAACTACGGGGAGCCCTACACCCCCCCGGGCCCAGACCAACACACAGGTCAGTCGGTCATATCCAGGTCAGTGGGTCAAATCAAACCAGGGGACAGTAGAACTGACCGTTGTGAATCTGGGTTTGTAGGTCACGTCAGGTAACTTGAGGGCAGTTCCGGTGATGGGGTCAGTGCCTGTAAAATCCGGGCAAACGACAGGACAAAAGTAGGTCAGGTCTGCTAAACCACGGTGGTCAATTAAGGACAAATCAATCAGACATGGATCAATAAACAGGTTACGTTTAATAAAAAAGTCAATTTGGCAAGTCGAAGGCAAATTTTTATTTCCAAAATGTTTGCTCGTAGCTGTATATATATATATATATATATATATATATATATATATATATATATATGTGAGGGTGGGGGTTTTACGATGCGAAACGAATGGATCCAACAACACGCAGTTCAAGTTCAACTATAATTGTTCTTTATTAAAATGATATATATGTTCAAGTTTCTACCTAACTGATCTACACTGTACTATTTACTTCTACTACTGACTGTTCACTATACTACTAACTCCCACGACCAATCCTAACACTATCTACATTCTACAACCTAACACCTTCTCTACTCTTCGCTATCTAATCATGATCTCCTAACTATCTACATTCTCGGCCGTCTCTGACCGCTACCTAACACCGTCCTCGCCTATCGCTCTCCTGCCCCACGCCTCAGTGGTCAGCTGACCGTCCCACGTGACCGGTCAGCCCTGTGCGCCCATTGGCCTCTCTACCCAACCAACTAGGCCTATCGTCTGTTTCTGCTAACCTATATCTGCTAAACATGTCTGACGTAATCTTGCGTCATCACATATCTCCCTCCCTTTCTGTAGCTGACAAATTATATTTTTCAGCGTCTGCTACTAATCTAATACATCAACAACTATCTATCTTACTACTCTATTCTATCCCTAACATCAATCATATAAATCAAATACAAAATGGGACAGCACAGTTTACAAAAACATAAAATCTTGTGTCTGTGTTCCTGAAAAAAAAATGTCATTGTTCTAGTTCTCGTGCAAGTATCCTGACGTCTGTGGTGTCTCTGCTTGATAATGTATGTCTATGTTTCATGGTATGTGTGAATCCAATCATGTGCAACTCAGTTCTGGCTAGGTTGTCGTGTACTGGCCTTGAGTGAATGTAGTGGTAATGTGTAACTGGTTGAACGGGCTCTGCGAGCAGTGTAAGTGTGTGTGTGTGTAAGTGTTATGTAATTATTGGCGTTCATCTGTGGTGGGTGGGTTGTGGCGTTGGTCTACGTAAGTTCCCGTGAGGCGGGTGTAGGCGTAACTTTCGTTGGTCAATGTGATGACGCAACAAACTCAACGCTGGTTGAGACGTCCACGTAGAGTGGTTATACGATGAACTGGAGCTGTCTGATGCGCTGGTGAACAATGACGTAACATTCCGACGCTGGGAACTTGGACGATGGGTCTTCTACCCTTTGTATGTGCCGACGTAGGTGTACGTAGCTGGCGGTCTGTTATTCAACTCCAGTGCGGGGGCGAAGCGGTGGCGATGCGTCCGCTATCTTGACCAGGGCAATTCGCTGTTCGGCAGGGCTGTTCGCTGTCCAGGTAACTCAACGTAATCAGGGCTTCAGGTGGCGGCATTCTTTGAAGTGTCTGCTTCATCTCGTCTCATTCTGAATAGCGCTGGTGGGTCTGAAATTGTATTACGAGATTATGAGCAATGGCTTTACGTGACCATCTTAGTGCCCGCGCAGACAAGTATTCAGACAGAGGTACCTTCCATTAAAAAAAAAACCTCAATCCCAAATTTATACGTGCTGAACATTTGTCTGGCGGCATAAAAAACATAAAAAAATAACATTACAACATAACCAAAATAAAAAAAATCAGTACACTCTAATCTAACAACAATCTGTAGAGCCTAATAAACTCAATAGACGTAAACACTACTAGAGCTTAGAAATAGCTTCACAAAAAGAATAGACATGTGAGTGTGTATCGTGCCATTTCAACACGTGATCATATAGTGGAGCAGCTCTCACTATCTGACTTTTGACGACTTAAACTGGCTGGTTGACTTAATGACTGACTTCAATTTTGACTTCAGTAACTCGACTCATTTCACTTTAACTGACTTCAGTAATTTCACTTATTTCACTTTGACTTCAGTAACTTGACTTATTTCACTTTCACGATTAACTTTACTTCGACGATTTCAACTACTTCCATTTGCCGACTAACTTGACCTAGACGACAGATTTCACTGACTGACTTCAATTCAACTTAAAAGACTTCACTGACTGACTTAAACTTCGACGACTTAAACGTCTTCACTTTGACTTCAATGACTTTTCCTTGACTTCAACGACTTCAATATGACTTCAAAGACTTCACTTTGACTTCAACAACTTCAATATGACTTCAAAGACTTCACTTTGACTTCAACAACTTCAATATGACTTCAAAGACTTTAACTTTGACTTCAACGACTTCAATATGACTTCAACGACATCACTTTGACTTCAAAGACTTCACTATAACTTCGACGATTTCACTTCATCACTATGACCTCAACGACTTTAATATAACTTCAAAGACTTTTCTTTGACTGCAACATGACTTCAACTACGTCACTATGACCTCAAATACGACTTTAACAACATTGACTGACTTGACTGACTTCAAATAACTTCTTTGACTTCAGTTCTGACTTATACTTCACTGACTTCAATAACACAATTGACTTCAGATTTGACTACACTGACTTCTGACTGTACGACTTCACGTCGATTTCCTCGACTACTTAGATCAACACAAAAACTCGACTTGACTTCACTTTTGTCCGTTGTTCAAAATCATTTATGGGGAAGGTCCGGGTCACATTCTTGATCATGGGGTTGATGTTCTAGGGCAGTTGCGTGTTATCTGTGTGCTGTACTTCCAGTTTCACTAATTCTAACGCTAACTCTGCTTTTGTTCTTGACATGTCTTACTATCTTGACTATCTTGTTTTCTAACTTATTCTCTACAAATGTTTCAACTTCTTCTCCTGTTTTGTCTAATGGTATGCCCTGTTTATAGCATTGAAACTCTGCCTCCATGGTTGTGTATGTGTATGTGTGTGTGTAGAGGAAAGTCAACAAAACTAAGAAAACAGGGCGTAACATAAGAATGTGTAAGGCAGAAAAGCCGCTGGCACCAAATATCCAGCACAAGTCTAAACCCAACGTTTAAAAAAATGTGGAAGGTACTTATCTTTTTGGACATGGTGACTGTTCCCTTGTATTGGTAATCCACTCGTTCCGGTTGAAGAAACCCGCTGTTGTGTTGAGTTGAAGAAAGCTGTACACCAGATGTACTCCGTCATGAGTAACCCGATATACCCAGTCTTTCCTGTCCTCGACCCGCGCTCCACCAGTTGTGAGGGTGGGGGGTTTTATGTTGGCGGCAACGAATGAATCCAACAACACGCAGTTCAAGTTCAACTATAATTGTTCTTTATTAAAATGATATATATGTTCAAGTTTCTACCTAACTGATCTACACTGTACTATTTACTTCTACTACTGACTGTTCACTATACTACTAACTCCCACGACCAATCCTAACACTATCTACATTCTACAACCTAACACCTTCTCTACTCTTCGCTATCTAATCATGATCTCCTAACTATCTACATTCTCGGCCGTCTCTGACCGCTACCTAACACCGTCCTCGCCTATCGCTCTCCTGCCCCACGCCTCAGTGGTCAGCTGACCGTCCCACGTGACCGGTCAGCCCTGTGCGCCCATTGGCCTCTCTACCCAACCAACTAGGCCTATCGTCTGTTTCTGCTAACCTATATCTGCTAAACATGTCTGACGTAATCTTGCGTCATCACAATATATATATATATATATATATATATATATATATATATATATATATATATATATATATAGAAGAACGTAATGACAATGGTAAATAGATTCACAACCAGAAAAACCTCATTCATGAACTACACTTCCAATATCACTAATCCTAATTCACCAGATATTGAACTTTACTTCTATATAATTAAATCTTAAATCATCTAAAACAAAACGAATATGTTCAATTTATGATGTGTTACGATGTTCGCTTTTTAAATTATGTGTATGTGCAGTGTTGATGGTTGTATGGTTAACACACAAAAAATAAAATTTTCAGAATGTTTTTTTTTCTATTCTAGGTGACCAAAGCTTGACCACGGTGTCATTAGCCGGGATTATCCTGGGCGTCATCGTCGGCGTTCTGCTCATCATCACAATCATCGTCGTCTTCGTCTTTAGAGTCAGCGGGTGGGTCAGTTTTCGACTTGATTATATAGCCTACATACAGACCTACTTCATACATACATACATACATACACACATATATATATATATATATATATATATATATATATATATATATATATATATATATATATATATATATATATATATATATATATATATATATATATATATATATGTATATATATATATATATATATATATATGTATATATATATGTATATATATATATATATATATATATATATATATATATATATATATATATATATGTATATATATATATATATATATATATATATATATATATATATATATATATATATATATATATATATAACTTGCTTACGTACGCAAAGACAAACTTGATTACATACATACTTTGGTGCACACAGTAATTGTTCATGATATACTTATAAGTACTAGTTTACATACAACCACATTTGCATACATACATACATACATACACGCATAGACACACTTCGATGCATACACACATACCCTTGCTAACTCATACTCAATTTCTAACATTAAAGCCCTGTTACAAATAACAAATAAATTATGGTTACTTTAGTACATTGCCTATTCCTGTTGTTTAGACTAATATTTAGAATAAAATTTCAATTTAAAAAAAAATTTAAACTGTACAACACCTACAATTTTAAAATTTCAGGTTAAGTCTTTCCGTTTTAACCATATTTTAAATTTATAATGACTTTGATTATAAACTTATTTATAATAATCAAAAACAATAGAACAAGGCTTTTGCAAGGTAGACAACCTCATATTTTTTTACACCGTTAATATTTTACCGATTGTATCCCCTGGTATATTGCATTCGTTTCTTCCGTGTTTATTCTGGTTTTCTAATCGCTAAAATTAGTTTCCCAATCGACATTCTAAAATTATTTTCAACGATTTTTTTTAGCCTCTTATATATTTTATAACTATGGTAGACAACACCGATATTTATACTAATGGCTATAAATGTAGGAAAAAGGACCGAACTCACGCAGAAACACACATAAGGGCACACTGAAATTGACACTACTATCTGGTCGTTGTTACTCATTACCTATTCGTTTTATTTGTGTTTTTTGGCTTAATTTACACATACAACAGTTCATACACGCATGCACACACACACACACACAGACACACACAGACACACACACAAACACACTAAAATACAAGCACAAATATACACCCACCCACATATATTGTAGCACTTAGACTATCGAAATAATATTCCCCAGACTTTAATTCCAACCGTTTCTCCAATTCCCCCCCCCCCCCCTACCTCCACAGGCGTGGTCTGTTCCTCCCGTCCATGCCAAGGTCAACCCAACCCAGGACAGCGGCCCACATTGACCCAGGTTTCGCCAACCCGCTTTTTGACGTCTCGCCACTGGATGACGGGAATGTACGTCTAACCCCATTGTGTGTGTGTGTGTGTCTGTGTGTGTGTGTCTGTGTGTGTGTGTGTGTGTCTGTGGGTGTGTGTCTGTGCGTTTGTGTGTCTGTGTGTCTGTGTGTGTGTCTGTGTGTCTGTGTGTGTTTGTCTGTGTGTTTGTGTGTCTGTGTGTCTGTGTCTGTGTGTGTCTGTGTGTGTCTCTGTGGGTGTGTGTCTGTGTGTGTGTGTCTGTGTGTGTGTCTGTGTGTGTTTGTCTGTGTGTCTGTGTGTTTGTGTGTCTGTGTGTCTGTGTGTGTGTGTGTCTGTGTGTGTCTCTGTGGGTGTGTGTCTGTGTGTGTTTGTCTGTGTGTTTGTGTGTCTGTGTGTCTGTGTTTTTTGTTTGTGTGTGTGTGTCTGTGTAAGAAGGTGGCTGGATCTCAGTTATGTCTGTATGACATATATGTATGACATGTTTGTATTCCATGTTTGTATGATATGTCTGTAGGACATATCCATAGTACATATCTATATGTCTTATAATATATCTCTATGACATGTATGCATGATATGCATTTTGACAGATCTGTATTAGAAAGATATATGACATTTCTATATGATTTGTGTGTATAACATGTTGCTCTATCTGACTCGACATGTTTCTAAATGACATGACAGAATGACATTTCTGTAATACATAACGGAATAGCATGTGTTAATTGCATGTGTGTATGACATGAATGAATGTTATGTGTGAATAAGATTTTAAAGTGGAATTCCGTATGATATGGTTTAAGTAGCATTCTGTATGACATGTGCGTATGACATCTGAATGACATATCTGAATGACATCTGAATGACATGTCTGTATGACATCTGAATGACATGTCTGTATGACATCTGAATGAAATTCCTGTATGACATCTGAATGACATGTCTGAATGACACGTCTAAATGACATGTGTGTATGACATTTGTATGACATCTGAATGACATGTGTGTATCACACGTCTGAATGACATGTCTGTATGACACGAGCCATGTGTTTAACTGACCACAGGCTGTGTTTAGAGAGATGGAGCTGATCGGGACGTCCCAAGATGACCAGCCAACGTTTGACGTCACGGCCAAAGAGAATCCTTTGTACGTCACAACCAAGGTGAAGGTCGTTCCGCAAACTCGTACACTGTCTTACACAGAACTTAATGAGCGGACACTAACAATTTCATACTCTGTTCTTTGGTCTTAAGAAACCATTCTATTAACCTCAAAATGATTTCAAGAACTATATTTTAAAAAAAAAACATTAAAATAAAACAGGTAGTTCTCAAATATTTTATTTCAATACGGACCCGCTGGTATGTTGAAGTTTTTTCTAAAGACTTCTGTATAGATGCCACTTTGTTAACTTTAAGTATATGGTCTAATCTTTGTCTGGATTAACACAACGCCCTAACACCAGACGAAGTGTAAATTTATTGGAACATTTTTCTTTTAAGTTAGGGGTCATCCATAAATGACGACACGCTTTTTTGACGATTGTCACAGTTGTCACACGTCGTCACAAAAAGCCAGAACCCCCCCCCCCCCCATAAAATGACGTCACACCTCAACCTACAACCCCCCCCCTCTCAAAATTGCAGTTGAATTTTTTTTAAACATCGATATTTTTTCTAAAATCTTGTCTAAACTATTACAATTTATTAAAACAGTTATCTAAAATGCGAAATAACGTCTAAAATTCGTTTTCTAACATTGCTTTTTTATAATGCGAAAGTGTGCCGTCGCAACATCTGAACCCCCCCCCCCCCCCCCCTCATCACGCATCGTCACAAAATTACGGACCCCCCTCCCCCCTACGATTGTGACGTCATTTATGGATGACCCCTTAGCAAAAACGGTTTAGATTTAGATTTCTTTTGTATTTCTTCTGGTTATCAAAAACGCTAAAGTTGTTTTACAATCGCCATTCTAAAATTATTTTCAAATCGACATTCTAAAATTATTTTCAAATCGACATTCTAAAATTATTTTCAAATCGACATTCTATAATTATTTTCAAATCAACATTTTAAAATTATTTTCAAATCGACATTTTAAAATTATTTTCAAATCGACACTCTATAATTATTTTCAAACCGACACTTCTAAAATTATTTTCAAAGCCGACATTCTAAAATTATTTTCAAATCGACACTTCTAAAATTATTTTCAAACCGACACTTCTAAAATTATTTTCAAACCGACATTCTAAAATTATTTTCAAATCGACATTCTAAAATTATTTTCAAACCGACACTTCTAAAATTATTTTCAAACCGACACTTCTAGAATTATTTTCAAATCGACATTCTAAAATTATTTTCAAATCGACATTCTAAAATTATTTTCAAACCGACACTTCTAAAATTATTTTCAAATCGACAGTCTGAAATTATTTTCAAATCGACATTCTAAAATTATTTTCAAATCGACATTCTAAAATTATTTTCAAATCGACATTCTAAAATTATTTTCAAATCGAGATTCTAAAATTATTTTCAAACCGACACTTCTAAAATTATTTTCAAACCGACACTTCTAAAATTATTTTCAAACCGACACTTCTAAAATTATTTTCAAATCGACACTTTTAAAATTATTTTCTTGTTTTCTCAGAGTTTATTCCGCGACGCCAGCGCCTCTGACGACCCCCCTCCCCACAGGGGCGTGGCAGTGACATCCACCTCTGGCACTATCCCCATTGGACATCCGACAGGGGGGTCTGACAGCACCATTTAGCACGTGCTCGCCTGAGCAATGCAAGTTGTCAAACATTAATTGTGTACTCACCATGGACTTGACCACATACAACAATCTTCTAGGAGCGTGTGTTGTGTTGAAATAACACACCGATTTGTATGCACACGCTTACTTACACTCATATACAAACACATACAAATATAATAACACACATCTTTGTGTATATATATGTAATATTTGGGATCAGGGCATTCCCCTCCCCTAGTTTATTGCTTTTTTTTAAAATAAATTTTGACCCTAATGGAGCATGTTTTTTTTTACATTTTTACTGTGCTGAGGTGCATGAATATTTCAATCTTAATACAATTCAAAGGTAAATTTTTGAAAATTAATTTACTATTTAAAGTAGAAAAACAAGCTGGCAAATACATAATGAAATAGCAAATACAATAATATAATAGCAAATACAATAATGAAATAGCAAATACAATAATGAAATTGCAAATACAATAAAGAAATAGGAAATACAATAATGAAATAGCAAATACAATAATGAAATAGCAAATACAATAATGAAATAGCAAATGCAATAATGAAATAGCAAATACAATAACGAAATAGAAAATACAATAATGAAATAGCAAATACAATAATGAAATAGCAAATACAATAATGAAATAGCAAATACAATAATGAAGTAGCAAATACAATAATGAAATAGCAAATACAATAATGAAATAGCAAATACAATAATGAAATAGCAAATGCAATAATGAAATTGCAAATACAATAACGAAATAGAAAATACAATAATGAAATAGCAAATACAATAAAGAAATAGGAAATACAATAATGAAATAGCAAATACAATAATGAAATAGCAAATACAATAATGAAATAGCAAATGCAATAATGAAATTGCAAATACAATAACGAAATAGAAAATACAATAATGAAATAGCAAATACAATAATGAAAAAGCAAATACAATAATGAAATAGAAAATACAATAATGAAATAGCAAATACAATTATAAAATAGCAAATACAATAACGAAATAGAAAATACAATAATGAAATAGCAAATACAATAATGAAATAGCAAATACAATAATGAAATAGCAAATACAATAATGAAATAACAAATACAATAATGAAATAACAAATACAATAATGAAATAACAAATACAATAATGAAATAACAAATACAATAATGAAATAACAAATACAATAATGAAATAACAAATACAATAATGAAATAACAAATACAATAATGAAATAACAAATACAATAATGAAATAACAAATACAATAATGAAACAGCAAATACAATAATGAAATAACAAATACAATAATGAAATAGCAAATACAATAATGAAATAACAAATACAATAATGAAATAGTAAATACAAAAATGAAAAAGCAAATAGGCCTACAATAACGAAATAGCAAATACAATAAAGAAATAGCAAATACAATAATGAAATAGCAAATACAATAATGAAATTGCAAATACAATAAAGAAATAGGAAATACAATAATGAAATAGCAAATACAATAATGAAATAGCAAATACAATAATGAAATAGCAAATGCAATAATAAAATTGCAAATACAATAACGAAATAGAAAATACAATAATGAAATAGCAAATGCAATAATGAAATAGCAAATACAATAACGAAATAGAAAATACAATAATGAAATAGCAAATGCAATAATGAAATAGCAAATACAATAACGAAATAGAAAATACAATATTGAAATAGCAAATACAATAATTAAATAGCAAATACAATAACGAAATAGAAAATACAATAATGAAATAGCAAATACAATAACGAAATAGAAAATACAATAATGAAATAGCAAATACAATAATGAAATAGCAAATACAATAAAGAAATAGCAAATACAACGATGAAATAGTAAATACAAAAATGAAAAAGCAAATAGGCCTACAATAATGAAATAACAAATACAATAATGAAATAACAAATACAATAATGAAATAACAAATACAATAATGAAAGAACAAATACAATAATGAAATAACAAATACAATAATGAAATAACAAATACAATAATGAAATAACAAATACAATAATAAAATAGTAAATACAAAAATGAAAAAGCAAATAGGCCTACAATAACGAAATAGCAAATACAATAATGAAATAGGAAATACAATAATGAAATAGCAAATGCAATAATGAAATAGCAAATACAATAACGAAATAGAAAATACAATAATGAAATAGCAAATACAATAAAGAAATAGGAAATACAATAATGAAATAGCAAATACAATAATGAAATAGCAAATACAATAATGAAATAGCAAATGCAATAATGAAATTGCAAATACAATAAAGAAATAGAAAATACAATAATGAAATAGCAAATACAATAATGAAAAAGCAAATACAATAATGAAATAGAAAATACAATAATGAAATAGCAAATACAATTATAAAATAGCAAATACAATAACGAAATAGAAAATACAATAATGAAATAGCAAATACAATAATGAAATAGCAAATACAATAATGAAATAGCAAATACAATAATGAAATAACAAATACAATAATGAAATAACAAATACAATAATGAAATAACAAATAAAATAATGAAATAACAAATACAATAATGAAATAACAAATACAATAATGAAATAACAAATACAATAATGAAATAACAAATACAATAATGAAATAACAAATACAATAATGAAATAACAAATACAATAATGAAACAGCAAATACAATAATGAAATAACAAATACAATAATGAAATAGCAAATACAATAATGAAATAACAAATACAATAATGAAATAGTAAATACAAAAATGAAAAAGCAAATAGGCCTACAATAACGAAATAGCAAATACAATAAAGAAATAGCAAATACAATAATGAAATAGCAAATACAATAATGAAATTGCAAATACAATAAAGAAATAGGAAATACAATAATGAAATAGCAAATACAATAATGAAATAGCAAATACAATAATGAAATAGCAAATGCAATAATGAAATTGCAAATACAATAACGAAATAGAAAATACAATAATGAAATAGCAAATGCAATAATGAAATAGCAAATACAATAACGAAATAGAAAATACAATAATGAAATAGCAAATGCAATAATGAAATAGCAAATACAATAACGAAATAGAAAATACAATATTGAAATAGCAAATACAATAATTAAATAGCAAATACAATAACGAAATAGAAAATACAATAATGAAATAGCAAATACAATAACGAAATAGAAAATACAATAATGAAATAGCAAATACAATAATGAAATAGCAAATACAATAAAGAAATAGCAAATACAACGATGAAATAGTAAATACAAAAATGAAAAAGCAAATAGGCCTACAATAATGAAATAACAAATACAATAATGAAATAACAAATACAATAATGAAATAACAAATACAATAATAAAAGAACAAATACAATAATGAAATAACAAATACAATAATGAAATAACAAATACAATAATGAAATAACAAATACAATAATGAAATAACAAATACAATAATGAAATAACAAATACAATAATGAAATAACAAATACAATAATGAAATAACAAATACAATAATGAAATAGCAAATACAATAATGAAATAACAAATACAATAATGAAATAGCAAATACAATAATGAAATAACAAATACAATAATGAAATAGTAAATACAAAAATGAAAAAGCAAATAGGCCTACAATAACGAAATAGCAAATACAGTAATGAAATAGGAAATACAATAATGAAATAGCAAATGCAATAATGAAATAGCAAATACAGTAATGAAATAGAAAATACAATAATGAAATAGCAAATACAATAATGAAAAAGCAAATACAATAATGAAATAGAAAATACAATAATAAAATAGCAAATACAATTATAAAATAGCAAATACAATAACGAAATAGAAAATACAATAATGAAATAGCAAATACAATAATGAAATAGCAAATACAATAATGAAATAGCAAATACAATAATGAAATAACAAATACAATAATGAAATAACAAATACAATAATGAAATAACAAATACAATAATGAAATAACAAATACAATAATAAAATAACAAATACAATAATGAAATAACAAATACAATAATGAAATAACAAATACAATAATGAAATAGTAAATACAAAAATGAAAAAGCAAATAGGCCTACAATAACGAAATAGCAAATACAATAATGAAATAGGAAATACAATAATGAAATAGCAAATGCAATAATGAAATAGCAAATACAATAATGAAATAACAAATACAATAATGAAATAACAAATACAATAATGAAATAACAAATACAATAATGAAATAGCAAATACAATACTGAAATAACAAAATACAATAATGAAAGAGCAAATACAATAATGAAATAACAAATACAATAATGAAATAGTAAATACAAAAATGAAAAAGCAAATAGGCCTACAATAACGAAATAGCAAATACAATAATGAAATAGGAAATACAATAATGAAATAGCAAATGCAATAATGAAATAGCAAATACAATAACGAAATAGAAAATACAATAATGAAATAGCAAATGCAATAATGAAATAGCAAATACAATAACGAAATAGAAAATACAATATTGAAATAGCAAATACAATAATGAAATAGCAAATACAATAATGAAATAGCAAATACAATAATTAAATAGCAAATACAATAACGAAATAGAAAATACAATAATGAAATAGCAAATACAATAATGAAATAGACCTAAACTGGTGTGTATGAATGTTATGTAGGAGTCTTCTATAAAAGAAGTGGGAGGAACTGGACACCGGGTCGGCGCTACCTATAAGGCGAACTAGGCGGTCGCCTAGGGCGTATCCCTGGGGGGTGGGAGGAGCAAAAAGGTTTAATCGCTATTATCAAAAAGTACCTAATAAATAATAACTTTGATTATCTTTTATAAACTATAGATGGTAATATAGAAAAGAGTAGCGATCTACTTCAGCGCCCAGGTCGAACTATCAATTTTGCAACCCCACCTTAAAATTAGATCGATATAGGCGTATATTAATTCTCGATGGTAAACATACAACCCCACCTCCCTAATTTGGAAAGGTCGGGGCGCTTTTTACCAGTCACTTTGCCTTTTTAATTTGGTGTCACATAATTGATATAGAAAACGATTAAATAAATTCGTAATTTAAATTTCGAACATGTCAAACGGTTATCTAATTTTAATGTTGTTTTAGTGGTCGCTCCAGCTCTTGACGAGGCGTG